ATTATAGGTGGCGTGGTTTGGAAATGGCCAGGAAGTGACCACTTGTGTTCACACACATACTAGGGTACAGAAATACCCCCTCTGGAAGGTTAGGGTGGGAGGGAGAAGGAGAATAGTAATCAGAAATAGTTTAATCAGTTTGTACAGAATTAGAATGAGAAGGGACTTTAGACATTGTCTACTTCAACTCCCTTTTCTTTACCTCTTCTCTGAAATGCCTCAAGGAAATAAGACTTATTCTATATGCAGGGTGTGGAGGCAGAGGCAAATAAGTTAGAGCCTGAGACACTCATGCAGGGAAGGGAAGTGCTGAAGGAGGAAGTAATAGCCATAGGGTGGACACTGGATGTCTAGGACACTGGAGAAAGAGGATTCTGGGAAGTAAATGGAAGAGGAGATGGGAGGGGTAGGTGTTCAGTTGGGGGTAAAAGTAGAAGGAGGAGCAAAAGAGAAAAGGAACTATTCAAAAATGGAACACTCATAATATTCTTTTACATTTATATTCTACTTTGTAGAATCATAGAATGGAGAGTTAGAAGGAACCTTAGAAGCCACTTAGTCCCATTTCTTCATTTTATAGATGAGGAAATTGAGACCCAGAGAAGGTATGTGACTTCCTCAATATTACACAGGTAATTGGTGGTAACATGAGACTAGAATGCAAGTCACTCTGTATTTCTACTATGCCATAATTACCTCTGACCAAAACTGACTGTTCCTCAGAATAATATACACTGCCATAGAGAAATGTCTGTGCCTTTATTGGAATGAACCAGTCCAACATATATCTTGGACTAGTTCATTTTGGAAAGGGTTTTTTTTTATTTTAATCACATATTATCTTTGAAAAGTTGTAAAGAATGTCATCTACCACAACATATGATCTCTTAAAGGGAGGCAACTAAGAATTGCAATTACTTATTTAAATAGATAATATTGTTTATTGATTTGTATGAATTCATCCATTCTTCTATCAGTATGAAAATTCGAATGTAGGGGTTTGTGTTGTTCACGTGCCCAATCTTTAGTATCTGGAGAATCTAGAAAAACTGAGGCCATAATGATAACTTATTCTATTCTCACTGAGTCTGAAACCAGCAAGTCACAGTTAGAAAAACAACTAAGGAAAGTGTGATGAATTTGGAGTCACAGAAGACTTGGGCTTGAACTCTGGCATTCGTCTTTACTTACTTGGGGACATTAAGCCAATCAACTAACCTCTCAGGGCCCTGATCTCTTCATTGCTAAAAATGAGGAGGTTGAGTTAACTAGATGGTAGCTTAGGTCTCTTCTAGTGTGAAATCCAAAAAGCATCCATCACTTAGTTCTATTATAGGCCTGTCATTTAAAAAACATAAAATAGTTTTATTGTAACTTTTGGGTTTTATGCTACAGCCATTTCCCTTTACTGAACTGCTTCCCCCACCCCCACTACTACCTAAGAACCCTCCCTTAAAAGAAAAAAAAAACACTTTTAAGCAAAAGCAACTGATACAGTGAGGGAGAGATGTGTTTTTCATAATCAGTTGACTAGAACCTCCAGTGGTCATTGCAATTAATCAGAATTCCACTGCTTTTTCATGCCATTTTAAGACATTTACATTATTGGAGTCATTGTGTTTATTGTTCTCCTGGTTCTACTTACTTCACTTTTTATCAATTCATACAAGTCTTTGAATATTTCTCTTGATTCCTCATATTCATCTTTTCTTATAATATAATATGATTTGATTACATTTGCAAGTCATTTCCTAGTTGATGGGTATTCATTTTGTTCCCTGGCTTTTTTTTTCCTACCACAAAAAAAAACGTTACAATTAATATTTTTGGTGAATACTGGAACTTTCTGCATTTGATTTCCTTGGTGTATACGCACAGTAGTAGGAAAACTAGGTCAAAAAGTATGATGAAACAAGTGATTTTTCTCACAAAATTTCAGTTTACTTTCTAGAATGGTTTGACTTCACAGCTCTAGAAATAGTGTACTAAAGTTCTTTTCTTCTTTTAGTCCCTCCAATATAGGCTGTTTCCATTTTTTTTAATTATTTTGGCTACTTCTACGGGTATGAGGTAATACTAAGAATTGTTCTAAGCTGTATCTCTCTTATTATTACTAACTTGGAACAATATTTATATGGTTGTTGACAATTTATAATTCTTTTGAAAATTATTTGTTCATACTTCTTACATATTGAGGAATGACTCATATGTCTCTTATATTTATGTTAATTTCCTATATTTCTGGTATACCATTCTTTTTTATTTATTATTTTTAAAATTAATTTATTTTGATTTATCAACAATCACTTCCATAAGCTTTTGAGTTTTAAATTTTTCTCCCCCTCCCTTCCTACCTCCCTCCCCAAGATGGCATGTAATCTGGTATAGGCTATACATATGCATTCATTCCTATTAAAAATATTTTCACATTAGCAATGTTGTAAGGAAGAATTAGAACCAACAGAAGGAACCACAAGAAAGGGAAAACAAAACAAAACAGAAGAAAAAAATAGCAAATAATATGCTTCAATCTGCATTCAAACTCCATAGTTCTTTCTTTGGATGTGGATAGCATTTTCCATCATGAGACCTATGGAGATGTCTTAGATCCTTGCATTGCTGATAAGGGCTACATCTATCAATGTTAGTTATCGCACAATGTGACCGTTACTGTGTACGACGTTTTCCTGGTTCTGCTCACTTCACTCAGCATCAGTCCATATAGCATACTTTAATCAAAGATATTAGATGCCAAGATTTTCCCTTAGCCTTTTCTCTTCTTATTCTAGCAGACTGATTTTGTTTATGCAAAAGTTTAATTATGTATGATTAAAAGAATATATTTGTCTTTTGTACACCCTATTACTTGTCTGGTTGTGAATTTTCTCCCTGGTTGTAATTGAGAAAAGGACCTCTTCTTTCATTCTCCTCATTTTTTAGGTTAAGCATTCACTTAGGGCTTATTCAGGTATTTGATGTAAAACAATGATAATGATAGTAATAATAATAATAATAATAGCATTTATGTAGTACTTGAAGGTTTCAGAAGCATAGAACATTTTATCTCATTTGATCTTCACAACAGAGAGGTCAAAAATGTAGCCTGTAGGCTACATATGGCCCACTATGTTCCTAATGTAACCCAATTCAGATTAAAATGCATTTGGGAAATATTTAGCAAAATAAATGAAAATGCAGTAAAAAACCTGTATCATTAACATATGGCTTTCTAAGTTAATACTTAGCCCACAGGAATCCTTATGTATGGTTTAGTGGCCTCTGTTTCTATTTGAGTTTGACACCACTGCTACAACAACCGTGTGAGGTAAGTACTATTATTACCTTTGTTTTATAGATGAGAAACTGAGGCTGAGAAAGATGAAGGGACTTGCGCAGGGTCATATAGGTAGTATCTAAGGCAGAATTGAACTCAGGTCTTTTTAATTTCAAATTCAGCACTTCATATACTGTGCTCCCAGCAATTAGACAGGCAAATGGAAAAGAAGGTCATTTGGGATATCCTGCTCCCCACTCCCAATTATGGATAACTTTCAAGAATGATTATTGCATTTGAATATATTTCTATCACCATAAATGAACATAGAAGCACCTGATGATCTAGGAAATTGTAAGATGGTAAACAAAATAAGAAAGCTATGATGTAGAACCACAAAAGAGAACATAGATGCCCCAAGTAGCTCAGTTTTGTTTTTTTTTTAATCTTGCCTCCTCTTTACCCTGAACTAGAAACAGAAAGCATCTTTTCTTTCAGCTGTCTGCAAAACACTGATTCAGTAGAGCTGAAGAGTCTGACTGGGGAATTGAGTCAATGAGTTCATTCTTTAAAATCAAGGGGTTTTTTCAATGAACAAAAATCCATATTCTCTCTTTCATTCACCCCACTCCAAAAAAAAAAAGGAAAGAAAAAAGAAAAAAACCCTTTGTCACAAATATGCATAGTCAAGCAATCCAGATTTCCCTATTGACCATATCTCACCATTTCTTTGTGAGGAAGTCCTCTGGAATTGTAACTGGTCATTGCATTGATCAGAGTTCCCAAGTCTTTCAGAATTGTTTGTCTTATATTGCATTACATTCCCGTACCATAATTTGTTTAGCCTTTCCCTTTTAGATAAGGACTCCTTTAGTTTCCAGTTCCTTCACACACACACACACACACACACACACACACACACACACACACACACACACACCTCCTATAAAAAATTTTGGAGGGCAGAGCCAAGATGGCAGAGTAAAAGCAGTGACTTGCTTAAGCTTTCCCTCAAACCCCTCCAAATACCTGTAAAAAATGGCTCTAAAATTTTTTGTACAGATAAGTGCTTTTTTTATGTATTTAATCTCTTTGGATTTTACATTTTATAGTGGTATTGCTTTGTCAAAGGGTTACAGTTTAGTAACTTCTGAGACTTTGTTCCAAATTGCTTTCCAAAATGGCTTGTTGACCAGTTTTTGGCTCTACCAACAGGACGTTAGTATATTTGTCTTCCCATAACTTCTCCAGCATTTGTCTTTTTCCTTTTTTTGTCAACTTTGCAAATCTGGTAAATGTGAGGCAAATCTTCAAAGCTTCTTTATGTTCATTTATCTAATTATTAGTGAGGCGGATAATTTTTTCATGACCATTGATAGATTGAATTTCTTCCTCTTAAAAGTTCCTGTTCATATCCTTTATCTATTTATCAATTGAAGAATGGCCTTTACTATAATGAATTTGAGTCAATTCCCTATATATCTTAGAAACAAGACCTTTATCCAAGAAACTTGATGCAAAGATGTTTTTCCCCATTCACCTGCTTCATGTCTAATTTGAGCTGCATTGGATTTGTTTGTGCAACAATGTTTTTTTTAATTTTATATAATCAAAATTGTCCATTTGCTTTCTGTAACCTCTCAATCCTCAATTAATTCATTCTCTAATTTCTATTCACAACCATATAGTAACCATGCTACTATAACAACTTTTCCATAAGCAAAGATCAATATTTAACAGTAATTGTTTTTACTTCAGTAAAGAAGTCGTATGAGTCCTTTGCTCCCTCTCTGCCAACTCCTGAAGCTTTCATTCCACCAAAAGGAAGGTTCAGGTCCCTGATGAGCCAACAGTTAGTCCAGACCAATCCTGACTGCAGCTTCTTAGATACTCGCCAGACTCTTCCAACATTGTTAGACCACACAGCTGCTGCTAGGCCATACTTCACATCATTAGCTCTTTCAATCACTTCCTCTTCAGTATCAAAGACAACAACACAAGTAACAGGACCAAATATCTCTTCCTTCATGCAACAGGATTCATCCTTAATATCTGTGATCACAGTGGGAAGCATGAAATAGCCCCCTCTGTTTTTAGATGGGAGGTTCAAATTATCCACACCCTCTCCACACAGAATTCTTGCTCCTTCAGCACAGGCCTTCTTTATATAATTCCTAACCTAAGTAGAAAAAATTCTTAATTAGTTACACTGTCTACTGCTTTCTTCTCTTAACTCCAATCTACCCCCACTGATCAATGTCATTCCACCCAATGAGCTCCTCCCTGAGAAGTCTGTGTTACCAGTAGAAAAATGAACAAGTAGGTGTGAAGACTATGTTTCGAAACCTAGTGGCAGCCATGGAAGCAATCCATGGTGGCCAACCAAAGAAAGAGATTTATTCTTTCATTTATTTCTGATATCTGAGTGATAATTGGCTACAAAAAAAGAATGTCCTTAAGGCCCAAGATTATGATTTTTTTTGTACCCCCTTTGTACCCCTAGCACCTAGGACAGTGTTTCTCACATAAATATTACTTAATAAATATTTGTTCAACTAAATGTTTTGATTTTGTTATTCATTCCACATCCAGGTTTCTAAAAAATTTCTAAAAATACTGCATGGTCGAGGCATAGCCCCGACCCTCCAATAAGCAAAAATCTTTTCCTAGACACTGAACCTAATCTAGCTTGTAGATAGAGAGTGAAAGAGCCTATTTGAAGAAACATCTTAACTCTTTCTGGCTACAGGAAAAAGATTTTAAAACCCCCAAAAGGAAGTAGCTTAGTCAATTAAGCTTTTAAATCTCAAAGCCCTAGTAGATATCTCTTCGGTGATTCAATCACTTCTAAACAAGATGGCTCTCACTCATCACCTATGGACCACAACAATTCAGATGAATGAGGATATTCCTGCAGTTTCCAAATTCCACCTATGGCAGGAGTTCTTAACTTTATTCATATCTTGGGCCCCTTTGGTAGCTTAATGAAGCTGATAGAGCCCTCCTCAGAATGATGTTTTTAAATAGTTGGAAAAAATGCTACATTTCTGTTAGAGGTTAGCAAAATTAAAGATGTAGAGTTTGGGTTTTGTTTGTTTGTTTGTTTGTTTGTTTGTTTGTTTTGTTGTTGTTGTTTTCCCATCAAAGTTCATGAAGAATGGTGTGGTATCAGTAGACTCCAGGTTCAAGAATCCTTCAGCTACAGCTACCTATGGGACAGGAATTTTCTATAAAGCACTTTGGCCGTGGAATTCCCCACCTGCCTTGTCCTAATAGTATTCCAGTTTACTGCTGACCAAGTTGGCTGACAATTGCTCTTTCTTTGCCACATGAAAGGATGGCCTCTTAAGCTGACTTCCTAAGCCTGGTAACTTTTACATAGTGGCTGTTTTAATCCCAGGTTTATTTAATTATTTCTTTTTCATGAACTTTTCACTTTAGACTTGTGTCCAGAGACAAATAAAAAGTAGCAATTGTGCTCTTCAGAGGACATATTTTCTTAAAACTGAATAATAATGAATAAATTTTTCCCACAGTGTGCCATGCTAAGAGCTTTTCTTCTATAAGTCTTTCCAGAACTCTTCACTATACAACTATTTACTTACTTTCTCCAAATGTGCATTGCTTATCAGAGCTCCCATGCTGGTTGTAGGGTCGGAAGGGGGACCAACTTTCCATTTTCTTATGGCTTCAACAAATCTTGCTAAAAATTCCTCATAAATTCTCCTTTGGACAAAGATTCTGCTAGTACAGAGGCAGATTTCACCCTGACAGACAAAGAATATGATAAGAACATAATTCTTTACAGGTCAGCTCAAGCCCTGTCTTCTTCATAAATCCTACACTGATCACCCCAGTCCACAGTAATCTATCCTTCCTATGACAATGTAGAAGACTTGCATTTGTAGCACTTATTTGGCATTTTTTGTACGTTGCTTTATATCATTAGAGGCTGTTTGTGTGTGTATGTGTAGGTGCAGGCATTCCCAGGGCTTCCCAATTAAATTGTAAGCCCTTTGAAGGTAGGCTAACAGTGACTTCCACACAGTGGACACTCAACATATTTGCTGATTTCAGCTCCCTTTTATGTGTTATCTTTCCCTATTAGAACGTAGTCTACTTGAAGGCAGGCGTTGTCTTTCCCTTTGGTTATATTTATATTCCCTGTTCTTGGCACACACTGCCAGGAATACATAGCACACATAGAAGGTACTTAATAAATAGATATTCACTTGTTGACTTAGTAGCTAAAGCAAATCAACACTTAAATCAAGTTATTTTCTTTATCCAGTCAACAATCCTAGCAATCCTATACCTCAGGGAATGAGGTATAGGAAAGAATATATGTAACCTCAACATATACATGTATTTATATACATGCTTATATATATATATATATATATATATATATGCATACACACATATATACACATATGCATACACATACACACACACATATATGTGTGTATGTGTGTGTGTGTGTGTATATATATATATACACACATATATATGTATATATATATATATATGTATATATATGTATATATATATATATACATATATATATATATATATGTGCTATTGTTGCACTAAGCTAGGAATAGAAAAAAACAGCATGGGCCAGTGGAAAGGGGACTGGACTTGGGGAACGGTTGGTTAATAATCCCAGCTCTAATGATTACAGCTTGTGTGACCTTGGGCAAGTCACTTAACCTTTGTACGTCTGTTTTTTCATCTGCAAATTTAAGATAATAATATGTACACTTTTTCACAGGGCTGATGTTGGTAGGGAAGTACTTGGTAAAAGTTACAGGGCTATATAAATGTGAGTTAAAAGAACAACAATAAATATTACTCTGCTTTTATCTCTTGCTTCTGAGAGGAAGATTGTGAGGAAATCAAGGTGAATCATTGCTCTCATTGTTTCAATAAACACAGTCTTGTGCAAATATTTGGCTAGTGTTTTGAATGCTTATTTATTCTTTCCAATGTGTATTTGTACTGGCATTAAAGACTTCAAAATATTTTATAACATCATTGTACATCATAGAATCATGGAACGTAAAAGCTGGAAGAGACCTTAAACATCACCAAGTTCAATCCTCTTTTTACAAATGAGGAAACTGAGGCCTGAGACACCCAGGTTTGAACTTTGGTTTTGACACTTACTGTGTGATCCATGGGCAAATAACTTATAGTCACTGACCCTCAGTTTCCTTGCCTGTAAATTGGGGATAATAATATGGGTACTTTCTACTTCACAGTATTGTGAGAAAAGTACTTTATAATTCATAAAGTACTATATAAATTTATAATTCACAAAGTACTATATAAATAAATTGTTACAGGTGTGTGCTAGAGTGAGTACTAACCCACTCACAAGCACAGATTGTAAAATTTTCAGCATGAGCATTTACACCAAAAAAATTAGCAAATGCTGCAAAATCAGGGCTTGCTTTATTTTTTGTTGTTGATTGTCTAGATTTAAGAAAGTAATGGAGAAAATGTTAATAATGCAGATCAAACTTAAATGGCTGTCATGTACACATTTTCCCTACTCCCACCCCTGGAGAGTCTGTTTTTAAACATTTACTAGCATATCACTGGTTGTAATAATTATCACTATATGAATACAATGGTATGAAGTGCTTGGAAGAAACACAATTTATATAGACTACATCTGCGCAATCAAGACTAGGATGTCCTATACAGAGGTGTCCAACTTGCAGCCCAAGTATAGCTCAAACCAGATTAAAATGTTAGTTTAAACATTAATAAGTAGTAGAGCTGAGATTCAAACCCAGCTCCTCCAACTCCAAATCCAGTACTTTTTCTTCTATAACTCTTTACCTAGCAGCAATGTGATTGAATGGTCCTATTGGCTGAGCGAAATAAACACTATTTCTTTTCACCGTTTTATGGAATTACCCAAACCAACCACTTGTCTTTTTGATATGAACATATAACAACAAAATAAAGAGTTTTTAAAAAGGACTAAAAGGAAAAACAACAGGTCCAAACACCAACACACACACACACACACACACACACACACACACACACACACACACACACTTCCCCTGACCTGATTAGCAAAACTGGATCTGACAGTCGTAGGGATACACTCGCTCAGATTGGCATCATCAAAAATGATGGCAGGATTCTTGCCCCCAAGCTCCAGAGAGAGTTTCTTGCAGTGGGGGGCACTCTTTAGCATGATCCGCTCAGCTGTCAGTGTGCTCCCAGTAAATGAGATCAGTGGAACTTCAGGATGTGACACCAGAGCCTCTCCTACTTTGGACCCAGTTCCAAACACAATATTCACTACACCTGGTGGAACCCCTAAGTGGAAAAAAAAAGCGTTTGTGGTTATTAATTTTCTTTGCCTTAAGGTCTTTAGACCTCCTTCAAGTTAGAGAGCTATTGAGGAAACATTTATTAAGCATCTTTCATGTTCTAGGCTTCTTTATGAAGACAAAAGTAAAATATGTGAGTTCCTTCCCTCAAGGAACTTTCATTCTATCTGGGCCTTTCTATCTTTGGAGCATGTTCAGCCACTGTTCCTAGTGGACGCTTACGTTAAGACTAAGTCTAGTTAGATGTGAGTGAAGGGTTTGTACTCTGTGATGATAAAGAGTCCCCTACTCAGCTGCTGAGCTGGAATTCAGTGGATATAACAAAGATTGACCTTCCTCTCCTACTACTCTTTTCCTTCCTGAGGAAGGAAACAGTGAAGACTCTTCTGAGCTTATCCAGTGTGGGAAAGTTGCTGTCCTATCTCCTATCCAGTCACAAGGGCCTGTGAGTACATCTTGTCTAGGCAATCCTGCCTAGGCAAGGGAAAGGTGAAATGCAAAACTGGCTGATTAGAAGCCTTACAAAAACTGTTTTATGTACTAATGAAGCATAATTACCAGCCTCCCAGTAGACCGTAACCATGGTCACAAATTGTTGGTGAATCCAGTTTAAATCATTCTGTTAATGTACAGAGTGAGTATTTGAGCTTTATCATTATCTTCTGTATAGGAATAAACAACCTGTACTACACTTGAATTATATTGTCCACTGCGTATCTTTTTTGACTTCTCTTTGAGGACACCAGATATGAACCACAATGTAAACTGCAAATAGCATCATCTCTGTGGTGGGTATTTGAAATGGAGCCAATGAGTGTGAGAAAGTGAGTTTAAGCCCTCTCCTCCAGTTAGAGAACGGGCTTCCCCAAGAATAAAAAAAGTATCAGCCTGCATAGTTCATGAGAGAGAGTAGTACAGATCACAGTATAGTCCCTATGCTCCTAGATGGGGTGCCTGTACAATAAGAATATACAAAATAAATCCAAGGTAATTCAGGAGGAGGGTATTAGCTTCACGAAGAAAGAGCATATCATTAAGGAAACCAGGAATTCTATATTGCTAATATAATCAGCCTATTCCAGGAGTTGTGATATGTCCAGATTGATGGTACAGAAGCAACTCCTAGAGCCCCGCTGCTGATACAGACTGAGCCTAAATCTCCCCTATGTTTAAGTAGCTCTTTGAGGGTTTACCTTACAAAGACCATTATTCCACCTCTCCATCATCTGAGTACAAAGGACATTTGGCTTTCCAAGTTGGATACCTGGTGGGGCACAAGTATTCATGCAGTAGGAGAAGACTATCAGTTTCTTCTCTACCCTTGTTCCTACCCTTCAGGCTGCGGCCACCCATTCCAGCTAAGCAATTCTTCACTTCAACTGGGCTTAAGTCAAGTTCATAGAATCACAGAATTTAGAGTTAGAAGGAGTCTCTGAGATCATCTGATCTGCCCTTCACCTCTGATAACTTTGACAAGTGGTCACTGAGCCTTGGCTCTACCTGGGAACCCATGACCTTCTCAGACATCCCATTCCACTTTTTTTTTGGAGAGGGGCAAGGGAGATAATTTATTCTTAAATTTTATTATAAATGTATCAATCATCAACAAACAAAAACATTTCAAAAAACAGAACAAGAAAGATAATCGTATAAGAAATTGAACTTCTATTACATAATTTTTAAAAATAGGTATTACTTCGAACAAGGCCTAACAAAATGGTACTATTTTATGTCCCTTCTTCAATTTCTTTTTGTTTTCCTCCATATATTTAAAAAATATTTTATTCTTTTTTGTTAGTGTATTTCTACCATTGCTAATTCTCTCCCATCCCCAACATTCTACTTTTTGGTACTTCTAATTGTTGAGAAGTTGGATTTTTTTTTTTACATTGATCCTAAATCCGTCTTTCTGCACCTTCCACAAAATGTTCCTAGTTCTTTGCCTCTAGCTCAAGCAGTATCGTCTAACCAACAAAATAGTCCTTAAAATATTGAAAGATAGCTATCATGTTGCCCCTATACCTTCTTGTCTCCAAGCTAAACACCTCCCAAATTCTTCCATTAACCATCCCCAGTAACATAGAGGATGCCTTTTCTTCCTTTAGTGGCCCTGGGAGATGCCTGCAGCACGTTCAGGTACTGAAGAGGTTTGCTAAGTGGAAAGAAGGTCTATCACATTCCTAATTTAGCTAATTATGAAGGCCCATATCTCTCAGCAGCCCCTAGATAGATCTCAAAAACAGGAAGAGAAATGATCCCTAAGTATAAGCATTAAAATAACCAGGGTACTTCATTCTGACCTCTCCATTTGAAAGAGGGTTTTTTTTTAATTTTCTATTAATTTCTAGGGAGAATGAAACATTGGATTAACAAAGTAAATTTTTTGTTCAAACCAATTTCCTTCACTCTATCTTTATTCTGTAAACAGGTATAAAAGTGAGTAAGAGTGTAGTATCTTGGTCTAACCAAAAATACCTGCCATGAATGTAGCACAACCTAAAATAGCAGCAGTAATATGTTATAATGCAAAGAGTTCTGCATCTGGAGTCAGGAAGACTCGGGTTCAAATCTTATCACTGACACCTGTTAGCTATGTATATAGCACATAGATATAGATATAGCACATATCTCTGGGCCTATTATAACATGAGGTACATATGATAGATATTCTAATTGCCACTTTACAGATGTTTCCTCATCTGTAAAGTGGCAATTAGGATATCTGTTGTATGTGTGTCATAGGGTTGTTGTGATAGGTGATGCATTTAAAGTTCTTTGAAAATTTTAAACCTGTATAGGAACATCAGTTATCATCAACAGTGTGAAGGGGCAGCTAGGTGGCACAGTGGATAGAGCACCGGCCCTGAAGTCAGGAGGACCTGAGTTCAAATCCAGCCTCAGACACAACACTTACTAACTGTGTGACTCTGAGCAAGTCAGTTAGCCCCAATTGCCTCACCAAAACAAACAAACAAACAAAAACAACGGTGTGATGCAGTGGAAGTAATAATGTATTTGGAGTCAGAGGACTTGGGTTCAAATCTCAGTTCTGCTATTTATTTCCTGTGTAACATTGGGCAACTGATTTAACTTCTCTGGGACTCAGTTTTCTTTTCTGTAAAGTGAGGAGGTTCAATTGGGGATCTTGAAGGTCCCTTCTAGTTCTAAATTCCATAATTATTATTTCAAGGATGTTGTCTCTTGTACTGTGAGAACGGAAGTATATTGTAAAGATCAGACATAGTTCTTCCTGCCTTGGGGACATGCAGACAAACACACTTAATATTGGCGCAGGCATGGAAATACTTGTCATACTTGCTTGAAGATGAATATTTTTACTCCCAAAGGGATGACTCAGCATTGGCTGGCTAGCCTGCAGCCTGCATGTAGCGATTTGAAGAGTGTACCCTGAAAAGCACCCCCAAAATACTTTTTCCCTGTCACAGTTTATGAAATTCCCAGCATCAGAAATGTATTCTTTTGGGTTAAGGCAGTGCCTCCAAGAGCTCATTTTTACAAATAGAAATGCATGGTTATTAGTCAGTAATCCTTTACCATGAGATAACAGGATTGCCTGGACTGGTTGATAAGAGATTATCAAGTCAGTTACCTAGCAAGGCCCTCAGGGAATGAATGAGGTATAGGAAAGAATATGTGTATCAGGAGGAAGCCAGAAGAAAAATGATGAAATTAGTGGAGTTTGTCTTGATATACTCCCACTTTCCCACCAATCTCTAAGGCCTCTTCTAACTTTCAATGATAAAAGCTTAGGGGTCTGGTTATCTCTTCCAGGAGCACCTACATTTAAACAGGGCATTCTGAAAAAACTTAACACTTTCTAGGGTAAACGTTATAAAACTCCTTCCATGAAATTTCAGAAACTATACTACGTGGTGAAACATATTGGAGGTGTGGACTACCCTGTTTCTTTCAAATCCTATCCAAAATTGATTTTCTAACTTCATCTCCCTTTATAAGGCTGGGCCTGGAGAAAAGGATATGATTATAAACATGAGCTTCTATTAAAATGAAGGCAAACTCATTTGAGGCCATGACAGTAGAAGGCCCTGAATGTTTGAGAATCAGAGTAAGAACACAAGGTATCGGGATCAGGAAGTGGGGTTTAGAGGGAAGAGACTCAATCTACATTATAGAAGGAACAGAAGGAACTCAAACAGTAGGAATAGGGAGACAAAAAGGAGGGGAGAAGGATAAGAAAGTCATAAGAATGTAGAATTGGAGCTGAAAGGACCTTAGAGGCCATTTAATCAAACTCCCTCATTTTCCTGATAAGGAATAATATTTCCCTATTTAAGTGACTTGCCCAAGCAGCACAGCACAGCAGAAAGAGCACTAGAATTGGAGTCTGAGGACCTGGGCTTGAGCCATAGCTCTGCTATCTCTTATTGATGTGACCCTAGGAAAGTCATCTAACTTCCCTGGGCCTCAGTCTCTTCATCCATAAAGTAAGGGAATGAGACTAGATTTCCTCTGAAGTTCCTTCTAGTTCTTGACCTCTGATCCTATCCCAAAGACAAACTGTCCACTTCACAACTTTGCCGAGAGTGGGTCTTGCATTTGAAACCTCAACAGGAGCTTGGGAAGAGTTGAGGTGGCAGTGGGGAGGCAGGCCCCAGGGAGTCTAAAGGGGAAGACTGGGTTGAATGATTTCTAATATTTATAGAAATTTTTAAGAGTAGAAAAGATGAGAGGAATCTCATCTAAGCTGCATGTTTTCCACATGAGGAAAATGAGTTCCTTTTCACCAGTGTGATTGCTTTTTCTTATAGAAAAGCATTAGCATTTTGATGATGTCTCAGTATGGGCTGACGTTAATACTGTTAAGAACTGAATGTTTCTGGATATTCTTTCTGTTCCTGCTCACCATTCTGACCAAACATTGATTGTGTTTTGAAAAGGAGCAGCCCTTTCCCTGGGAAGAAAATTATTCAGGTCATAATCAAAGAAATACAATTTTTATATAGCAGCTCTTAAACCATCAAGTCAAGTCACTTGACAGCCCAGGCTTCTCTAAATAGATGGAGTAGGTGGAGAATAAATGAGATCCTTTACAAGAATCTCACCTTGTAATGCTTCACATAACTTCACAGAACAGAGCATAAATGGAAGAAATGGCCTGAAGGCAGCAATCAGTGAACACACCAGGAAAGGAGGAAAACATTTGGTATTAGCAGCAAGGAATGCATTGAAGGACTGGGACACCCAGACATTAAGTTGGATTTTATTTCTTTGAATTAGGATTTTATCACCAAGGACATGAGCTGAGTTAACTTTACAAAACCAAGAGCCTGAAGCACTCATCCAAGCTAAGTGTGGTCTCTGAAAAGACTAAAATATGACAACCAATCTAGAACTCCTAACACATCATTTATATTCTTCTTATGTACTCAGCATATTCCAATATTATATTTCTCTGTGTGCGAGATATATTTTGGATTATGAACTCCACAAAGCAGGGGTTCAGGGTTTAGTAAAAGTATGGATTATTTTTGTATGTTTGTTGAATACATAGAGTATATGTGTGTTTGTGTATGCACACAATCATATACATATATATGCATATACAAATGCACACATATGACAAGGAAAGAGAGGAGAAGAAAGGGAAAGAGAAAACAGGGAGGGAGATAAAAGAGAAGAGGAATTAAAGAGAGGAGAGAAAGAAAGAGAAAAGGGAGAGAAGTTGAAGAAAGAAGGTAAGGAAGGGGGGAGGAAATAGTTTGACATCATCTTGTGTGAAAATCCTACCTCTATTTGGCTAGTAGACCATATCAAGTCGTTGAGCCCCTCTGTCCTTCAGGTACCTCTCTAAAATTATAACTATTACTATGGCTATTATATTAATATGATTATATTATATTTGAGATAGAATACAGTAGGTGCTGGTTTATGGAAAGAATCTATACCCACTCTGTAGGTAGTGAGTCAAGGAGCACGATGTGAGTGATGGCACAGCCCAACCCATCTAATGATGGAGTACACATCACAAACAAGATATTACCGTCTTCATGGTATGCTTCCTATACTCCAGTCTTCTCCTCCTCTGCTTTCTCTTTCTCCTCCTCCTCCTCCTTCTCTGCCCAGAAATTGAACTCCAATTCCTGAGATGATGGGCTCTGACTGGTAAGCTTTCACTTTATCTAGTCCATACCTAAGCTCACCATGCCACTTCTCAATCATTTCCACACCATGCCACCTATATTCCAGTTTCTTCTTCCTCCTCTTTTTTTTTCTCCTCTTTCCAAAAATTAGACCCATCCCACCAGATCCGAGCCTCTAACTAGTGAACTTTCATCTCATCTACTCTGACAGGCCTAGCCAAATCACGTTTCAGGCATCGGGATGCCATCCTGATTCTCACATTGCTCCTTCCCCACCTCCACATCCATGGAATTTTCAACTTCACCTGTCAAAACAGTAATCAAATCAACACTACTATGTTGACACTCCTCTCTGGCTACCACTCCCCTTTATGTGCTTTCTTTCCCTATTAGAATGGAATCTCCTTGAAGGCCAAAATTGTCTTGCTTGGTTCTATTTATATCTTCAATTCTTAGAAGAGTGAGTGGAATATTCTAAGTAATTAATAAGTGTTTTTATATCCATCTACATGAGTATGTGGTATTATTTTTGTTTTCACCAAGTAGGAATAATTTGTGAACTAGAGTTAAGCTAAAATAGATTTAGACTGAATATTTCAGGAACCATCTGATATCATATTGCACTCTGTTCCCTATCCAAGGTACCGATGTGGCATTTCAGTAGCCTTTTTTCAATATGTAAGTATTGAAACTGTTCTGGCATTTGTGTTGAATGTAAGAGCAATAGGATAGGGGAACCAATAAATTATTAGGGAGCATTGTAAATTAAGATTTCCGTCAATGTACTATTAAGACACACACACACACACACACACACACACACACACACACACACACACAAAAACACCACCACCACTACTGAAACGTCTCTAATAGAATTGGTTTTTATATTAGGCAAAAGATAGGAATAGCAGCAATAATAATACTAATGGCTAGCATTTAAATTTATCTAATGCTTTTAAGGTTTGCATAGCAATTTGCATATTTATCATGTTATTTATTTGCATACATAATTTGCATAATTTGATCCTCACAACAACTCTGTTCAATAGTTATTATTATCTCCATTTTATAGATGAAACTGAGGCTAAGAGATGTAAAGTGCCTTGCCTAGGGTCACAACAAGTTGTAAATATCTGAGGTATGATTTGAACTGCCTTCCTGATTCCAAGTCCAGCACCACTATGCACTGCAGCACTTAGCTGTCTCATGAGTCTATCTGATTTCTTCCCAACACCTTTTGATTCTACTTTCACAATGCCAGTAGTCTCAAGACCTGTAAAATGTGTACTTTGGGGAATCAGCCCTTGTTTGGCATCCCAATTACCTGCTTTATCTAAGAGTTTGCACAGCATCCATGCAGTCACTGATGTCATCTCACTGGGCTTTGCAATCACTGTATTTCCAGCAGCAATAGCTGGAGCAATCTTCCAGGTCAGCAAATAAAGTGGCAAATTCCAAGGGCTAATCAAGCCAGCTAAGAGAGGCAAAAAAAAAGAGAGACAGGGATGACATATCCCAAAGTCATAGTGGGATCTAATTTTCTACAGAACTATAATGTTCCTTTAAGTGACACTTAAAAAAGAAACATATATTTTGTTGTAGAGCAATATGATATAGTAGATTGACTGCTGTTTGGAGACAAATAGACTTCTCTAGGTTCAGATCTCATATACTACATTAGCTGTGGGACTCTCTCTAGGTAAATAAATCACTTCACTTTACTGTGTCTTAAGCAACTCCATAGAACTTACCTATGTGGCCATACTTTGCTGCAAGGAGCAAATCCTTCCCATATTCATGTATCAATTTGATGGAAAACTCTCTAGAATGTATTACACACATAACTGAGTAATTGAGCACCTTCTTAGGGGAGAAGTAGGGAACAAGCACCTATTAAGTGCCTACTACGTTGCCAAAAACAATGTTAAGTGCTTTACAGATACCTCATTTGATTCTTACCACTAACCTGGGAGGTAGGTGCTATCATTTTTCCCATTTTACAGTTGAAAAAAATTATGTAGACAGAGGTTAATTAACTTTCTTTGGATCACAAAGCTGGTGCCTGAAGCTGGATTTGAATGCAGATATTTCTGACTCTAGGCCCAGAACTCTAACCACTGTGATACCTAGCTGCCTCCTTAAACAGAATATATTGAACTTGACATTAGCCTTTTAAAAATTATTTTAAGAAGGGGCTGGAGCCAAGATGGCAGAGGAGAGGCAGCTACCTAGCTGAATTTGCTCAAATTTCCCCACCAAACAACTTTAAAATAATACCTCAAATCAAATTTTGGAGCAGCAGAAAAAACAAAAGGTCAGAAAGAGATACTTTTCTAGTCTAAGCTAACCTAGGAGGTTGACACATATAGCAATAATGATCTCAGACAAAGCAAAAGCAAAAAAATGGGCCAAATTAAAAGAGATAATCAGGGAAGCTACATTTTGATTTTTAAAAAGTATCATAGGCAATGAAGTAACATCGAAAATTTTTATAGCAAGTTTCTCTGATTAAAGCTTCTTTTCTTCAAATATATAGGGAACTGAGTCAAATTTAGAAAAATAAGAGCCATTCCCCAATTGATAAATTGTAAAAGGATATAAATGGGCAATTTTCAGAAGACATCAAAGCTTTATATAATCACATAAAAAAATGCTCTAAATGACTGTTGATTGGAGAAATGCAAATTAAAACAACTCTGAAGTACCATTTCACGGCTACCAGAAATGACAAATGCTGGAAGGGATGAGGAAAAATTGGTACATTAATGCATTGTTGGTAGAGTTGTGAACTGGTCCAATCATTGCAGAGAACAATTTGGAATTATGTCAAAAGAACTATAAAACTATACATATCTTTTGATCCAACAATACCACTACTAGGTCTGTACCCTAAAGAGATCAAAGGAAAAGGAAAAGGACCTATATGTACAAAAATATTTATAATTACTCTTTTTGTGGTGTCAAAGAATTAAAAATTGAAGGAATGCCATCAATTGGTGAATGGCTGAATAAGCTGTGGCATGTGATTATGATGAAGTACTATTATGTTATAAGAAATGATGAGGGGGATGGTTTCAGAAAAACATTGAAACACCTATAAAAACTGATGCAGAGTGAAGTGAACAGAACCAGGAGATCATTGTATATAGTAACAGCAATGTCATAATGATAATCAGCTATGAAAGACTTAGCTACTCTGATCAATGCAATGATTTAAGAAAATTCCTAAGAACTCATTATGAAAAATGCTATCTATCTTCAGAGAAAGAACTGATGAACTCTGATTGTAAATTAAAGTATAGTTTTCTCACGTTATTTTACTTGGGTCTTTTTTGTATGATATGGCTAACATGGAAATATGTTTTGTATGATTTCATGTATGTAATTGATATTATATTGCTTGCCTTCTCAGTGGGTGGGGGAAGGGCAGGAAGCAGAGTGAGATTTGGAACTGAAAATTTTTAAAAAAGAATTAAAAATAAATTAATAACATAAATACATAGTATATACATAAATTGATATATAAATAATATAATAAATAATATAAATTTAAAAATAAAATATTTTATTTTCCTCCAATTACATGTAAAAACAATTTTTGATGTTCACTTTTTTTAACTTTTTAGTTCTAAGTTTATCCCTCCTTCCTTCATTTACCCCCTCCCTGAGACAGTAAGCAGTCTGATATAGGTTATACATGTGCAATCATGTAAAACAATAGAATAAATATTTTTAAAAATTATTTTGGGGCCTTCATTCTGAAAATCTTCCTAATTCTCTTAGAATTAGGATCCTTGAGGTCAGGTACTGTTTTTTGGCTTTTCCTTTATATCTCTAGCATTTAGCACAATGCCTGGCATAGTATAAGTGTTTGTTGATTGATCTTTGAACGTAATATTCAATAATAGTAGGTCCACCTGAGACTATTGAGATTGTCAGACCAACCACAAATGGTACCAGACCACCACTGTTTGTGAACTTCTGTTCTTATTTTTGGATTGTTTATCCTTTCTCCTTCTTCAGCAAGGCTACCATCTTTTACAGCTTTCATTGTGCCTGCCATTCATATCCCCTTTTCCTTTCTTCTAATGAGGTATGGGCTAAGAAACTACAAAACAAAGCTTTTTAAGATTATGTCTATAATAAAAATAATAGGCACCAAGGGGGGGTCTTGTGGGCTTTCTTACAGGCAAAGTACATAGACTTCAATGTGCATAGGTATGGTAATAATCTACTTTAGCAGTTCAGAGGCCTTTCTTTCTCTTCTTTACTAGTATCCAGCTGTGTTCCAGATCATTGGCGCTGCTGGATCCTAGGTAAGGAAGGGGTCACTGCCTATGAATGTGATGTTTGGTGAAGTCCTTACCATGCTCACTCCATCAAGCTTTCTGTAGCCATTCAAGACTCTGAAATCTTACTGGCATTCCTTTCATGAAACATAACAACAGCAAAAATCACTTTATGAAAAACAGAAAGACTGTATTTTATTGCCTGCCCTGTAGCACTTATCACAGGATCAACATACATTTCATACTATTAGAATGGGTATTGGAAATCTGTTCCTCAGGAGATCACAGGATATTAATGAAATATGATATTTCAGCTCCCTCCTCCACAGGAAGTTTGCAGTATCCTTATCATAATGCTTTGTAGCTTTGGCTTATGATACAATGTCCCATTTTCTTCTGTGTCTCCTGTTCTCTTTTATTACCATGACCAAAATTCCATCTACTATAGCAGCTAGGGTTTACAGTGGGCCAAAGCTACTTTTTTTCCCTGAGGAAATAGTGATATCTGGTGGCTGTTTTAGAGTATTGCAAATATTTACGTGGCCAGAAAGGGGCAAATTTTAGGGTGAGGGAAACTAAGAGAGCTTACAAGAGTAAAGAACTACAGTTAAATCAGAGGGAACGCCTAGGATTTGGAGGGACTGCTGAGATCATTCAGAAACTCTGGGTTTTCAAGAAATCAGTTAGTGCCACTGAGGCTGTAAAAGAGAAAAAATGAGTTAGAGTATACTTTCTGAGGTTTGATTTCAGTGACTGTCCCTTCCCACCAGTTCAGAAATACCTACCAATTCCAACAGGACTTCTCACAGTATAGTGCATGCAGCCCATGGAATCCATCTGAGTAGCATCCGTGGTGTGGTGAAGGATTGAGGAGGCAAAAAATCGAAAGTTGTACACAGCCCGTGGAATGTCCACAGTTCTAGCAAATGTGATTGTTTTCCCTGTCAGAGGGAAGCAATTTAAGGCATATAGTTATTTGCAGTGAATTAAAGAAAGGTTCGCTAGGTTTCTGGTCCATATAACACAAGACCATAGATTTAGGGTTGGCAAGAATCTCAGAGGACATCTTATTCCAACACTTTCATTCTGGAGATGAAAAAAACAAAGGCCCAGAAAGTTAAATGATTTCATTCAAAGACACACAGATTAGTAAGTAACAGTTGAAGGATTTGAAACAAATAAATGGGGACACAATATTAAGAACCAAGCTACCACCCTTTGGGGGTAGGGTAGACTCTTGACCTGTGAATTCACTGTGTAGGGAGCTCCCAAGGCAGAAATTCCTTTCACTAATGTAGCTAAGTGGCATAGTGGATAGAGTGCTGGGCCTGGGGTCAAGAAAACCTGAGTTCAAATCCAGCCGCATTTACTATCTGTGTGACATTGTACAAGTCACTTAACCTCTGTTTGCCTCAGTTTCCTCATCTATGAAATGGGGATAAAAATGACACATATCTCTTAGGGTTGTTGTGAACATCAAATGAGATATTTGCAAAGCACTTACCTGGCACATAGTAGGTGCTATGTAAATGCTAGCTACTCTTATTATTAATGCAAATCAGCAATCCCTTGGTAACTTTTGTAATCTTAAGTTGCCTGAGGCATTAAATGACTTGCCCAAGGTTACACAGCCAATATGTGTCAAAGGCAGGATTTGAACCTACATCTTTCTAACACATGGTAGGTACAGTATAAACGCTTATTCTTTTCCCCAAGATGTGTCAGAAGCAGAACTTGAGCCCAGGTCTTTCTGACTCCAAGACTGATCCACTATTCTCCACCTCACACCATCTCTCAACATCCCCTTACTAGTTATCTATTCCCAGTATCTATTGAGATATCCTAGTTTCTTTATTGTTTGCTGAACATAATCCCTGTGGAGAAGAAAATATAAGCATTTAAATTCCAAAATGGGCCCTTGAATAGAACATGGAAATCTACCTGGTTCAAGAACTTGAAAACTTGAATAGGCCATAAGAAGACACATGGGATTAAAGTGGGCCACTCACCATTTGCTTTATGTGTGAACTGAACACGAGTCATAAATACTTAGAATTCAGTATTTCTAGCCTGGCTGAGCCCGAACGCTCCTCCACCCACACACTTTCATTCAATTCAGAATCACCCTTGTCTGTACGTGCCACAAAGAGAAGGAGACAGCAAATATCAAAGTAGTTGAGCCAGCACTACACAAAAGAACCCTTTGAAAGCAAATGATTGTTTATTAAATTTCTACCCTAACACGTGGAAAAAATGATCAAATTCAGACTGTCACAGGAGACCACCAGGATGCTCTCAGGTGAACAAACGCTTGCTGTTACTGGGTCAGACATGGCACACCTCGTGCAGGCTCTTGATTGAACAAAGCCCGTCAGCAGAATTTTTGGTCAGGGATACGTCTGACCTCCATCTTGACAAATGGAACGTAGATGGAGTGTACACAAGCTGTCAGAAGATTTAGAGGTAGAAGAAGCCTTCAAGAAGCCTCTATGCCAATTCCCTCATTTTATAGATAAGGAAAATGAAAGATAAAGGGAGGCATGGCCCAATTAGTCCAATTATGCCGATAATGAATCTCTTGAGCTATTTGGATTCGTACTGTATGATTGGGTTAGAACCAATGTCCATAACTGCAAATACTACAAATTCAAATACATCCAACTACTTAAGGGGATTCATTATTTGTAGCAGAACTGGAATTTGGACCCAGGTCTTCTGCCTTCAACACAGTCTAAATATTCTATGCCCGGAATATGCTTCCTCCTCACTCCCCCCTGCCTCTTAGAATTTCTAGCTTCCTTCAAGCTCAAGTGCTACCTCTTAAACAAGGCCAAAACTATTCCCCCAATTACTTTATATTTAAATATAAATGAATATTTATATATTTAAACAAATAATATAAATAAATATTAAATAAATAAAATTTTAAATGAATATTTGATATTCACTTACTTTTATACATATTGTTTCCCTATAGTGAAATGTAGACTCCTTGAAAGCAATGTGTCCCTACTGCCTGGCACATAGCAGATGCTCAATAAATGTTTGCTGAATGAATGAATGACACCAAATCCAGCACTCTGATTTAAGTTCTATTAATGGAGCATGCTACTCTAATCTGCCTCCCACCATATTGGTTTCTGAATCCTAGTCATCCAGTCGTAATGCATTAGATGCAAAGTGTATATATATATACATGTGATATATATGTATATATATACACATACACATATATACACATGTATGTATATGTGTATATATATATACATACACACACACACTATATCCTCTCTAAAACCTTATCCCTATTTTATTCATTCCTGTTCATCTTTCAGCTCATTCCAATCTGAATTGCCTATCTCCTAAGTCATTCTACTATGTCCTTTGGAGCCCTTCTATATTCTCAACCCACTCCCCTATATCCACGAACATTTCAATTCAACTCAGTTGACTACATGTCCAGTATAAGGCTAGGTGCTAGAGATATAAAGACAAAATGATAATAGTCCTAGCTCTCAAAGAGTTTATATCCAACTAATATTCCATTCAATCAATCAAGTCAAGACAACAAGAATTTATTTAGCTTCCATCATATGCCAGGTTCTATGCAAAATGCTGGGGACACAAAGAAAAGTAAAAATAGCACATGCCCTTCAAAGAGCTCATGATCTAATGGAGTAGACAACATGTAAATAAAGAGATAAATAAATAATAGATGGAAGGCAACCTTAAAAGGTTACATCTTCATTTCCAACCCAGCTCAGCATCGTTTTAGCGTTCTTTGGATTTTTCCATCATGACCCTAGGAATCTCTTCATTGAGAAATATCATCATTCTACAAGATCCAATCAGCCTTGGCACTCACACCTCACCAGTTCCCTCTGCCACTCTGATTGGAGGGCAGAGCCACAAACTTCAAAACCTCCATTTAAGGAGGAGGCCCAGGCCAACCATTTCTTTATTTTCCACTTCCCCTTCTCCTTCCTCCCATCACTTTTTAACTTCCTTTTGTGTACTATTTTCCCACATTAGATTGTAAGCTCCTTGAGGGTAGGGACTATCTTTTTCATACTTCTATCTCCAGAACTTAGCACAGTGCCTGACACATAATAGAAGTTGAATCAATGCTTATTTATTGAATGACTATTTCGACTGATCAGAAACCTGGCTCTCCCTTCAGCATGCTATATTCACTGCAGTCCTCTACTCTGAACAATTATTAATTCACAGAGCCATGAAAGGGTGCCTTATTGGCCTACTCCTTACCCTCCATTGCTGCTTCAAGACCTTTCTTCTATCCCAATCCTCCCTTGAAAAAAAATTATCTTCTTTTCATCTTCTTTCTACTGCTTCTGACCTCTACACCACTTCCCCAACATCTCAGTGACATTAGGGCCTGGTTTACGGTCTTCTCTTCAAGAACGAAGGAAAAGCAACATATCCTGGCATCATTCTTTGAGACTTCAACATTCGTGGTGATAATGCCAATAATAATAATACAAGTGAAATAATAAAAAAAATATTTTTATAACAAATAACAAATAGTATTTCAAAGATATATATGCTTATAGATAGGGGCAGCTAGGTAGTGCTGTTATCCTCATGAGTTCAAATCCAGCTTCGGATACTTACTAGCTGTTATGGATAAACACTGCTACTACTATGAGTAGAAAAATAACTTTGTTTTAATAAATGCTGCTAAAATATGAGTATGAAGAAACATAGCTTTCCAACAGGATTTGAACAGTTTGGGAGAGAAAATGATCGGTGGGGTAGATTTGAGGATTTGGATCTCTTTGTCAACAAGGTAGAGTGATGTCTCCCTTGTATGGGAATAATTTAATGTTATAAAGAGGCAGGGGAAAATAATTTATTTACCCATTTATTTATTTTCTTATTTATTTATTCATTCCTTTGTTCTTTTGTTAAATCATTCATTCATTTGAAGAAATGTGAATATAAAGAAATAGTTTCACAGGCACCAAAAAGATGGAAATCCTTGGAGACTTCAGAGCCAAGGCATGATGGGTACCTCCCCACATATTATAACCAAAGACATTACAACTTTAAAAAGTGAGAAATCATTTAAACATTTGGAGATTGATGTATATTTAAAAAAAAAAAGCTCAGTCTCAGAGTCAGAAGACTGTCGTCTAAATCTAACCCACAGATCACCTAGTATTGGAGAAAGGTGAAGCTTTTTAAGAGCTTTGTTACTCTCCACTCCCACCTCTGGCTTGAGGAGGAAAAGCAGGGAAGGCTTTGACTGGGCTTCGCTATCTGATTGGGTTGGGGCTATGTTGCTTTGCATCCCATTCTGATTGGTCTACATAACTTCTGGGTGAGTGAATAATTGGATGAATTGGTCTGTATAGCCCAGTTTGATGAACTTTGTAGTTTTCTGACTGAAAGAGAACTGCTATTCACATTAATAGCTAGACCTTTTAAGAGGGGGGGTTAATTTAAAGAGTTTATAAAACTTATGTTAAAGAAGAGAAGAGTATTTCTCCAGTTAAAGAATGGGCAAGAATCAACACTGAAGCAGTGAGCAGAGAACCAGTTTCATGTGATGTAAATGTACTCAAATGAGCCAATAATATAAAAAACTGCAGTCCAGAGTTGTCAGTTTTCCATAAGCACTTGAGTTTTCCTACCTCATGTGTTTCCATACCAGGCTTCTATAAATGTATGTCCACTCTTCACCATAACGATTGAGTAGTACATTGATGGATTTTTGCTTGTATTTGTGATGTATTTTATGATTTATGTATTTACTCTGAGCAAGTCATTTGACTTTGCTTCAGTTTCCTCATCTGTAAATGAGCTGGAGAAGGAAATGGTAAACGACTCCGGTATCCTCGCTTAAAAACAAACAAACAAACAAATGGGGTCATGAAGTGTTGGACATGACCAAAAGGACTGAACAACTACAAAATGTTTTTAATATATTAGTACCTATAATATTTTATTTGCCTTATTATTAAGTAAATGGTTATGTTTAAGATCTAAAAGTGTCCTTACTGAGAGTGGCTGGTTGTATAGATAGAAAACGTAATGCATTGAACTTAAGAGCTAGAAAGTGGTAAGGGAAATTTATTTCCCCTCAAACGTGTTATCCCTAGGATTTTGAGGGGGTTGGAATGTAACCAAGTGGTACTGATCTCTGGGAACTTAGACCCACTAGTTTAAGAGCAGCATGGGAAGCAGGTCAGACCCAGAAAGAAGTGAGAATAAATCACTGCTGGTGTACACATTAAAACTCCATTGGATAGGGCCCCACTATATACTGTTTTCTGGTGTTAAATTGTGGGGGCATTGGGATATACTGTTACAATTACAGCAATGTAAACAGAAAGACACCCAAAACTGAACACTGTATAAGTATAAGCCAAGCAATAAGCTTGGCACCAGAGAAGAGTTTATAAGATGTATTACCTTCCACTCATTACAGAGGCAGGGGACTATGAAAGTAGAATATTGCATATACTGTCAGATGCAGTCTGGATAGTTGGTTAGTTTTGCTGAACTATACATTTTTCTTTTTAAAGAAATCTTTATTATAAGGGAAGGTTGACTGAGTTCTGGAACAGGGATAAAAAATCAGTGTTATGTAAAAATAAGAGGTATGTGTAATTTTTTAAAAAAGAATAAGCACGCTTTAAGTTACTATGCACCCAGCTCTGGATTCTCCTGCTCAATGCTCACACCTACATGCTTCTCTCTATGTGATCAAGAACAAATCTGAAAGTTGATGCACTGAGTTTGGTGACACAATGGATTCCAGATTATGATGTGTCACCTCCATTAGAAGTTTGTTCCAAGCCTTCCCCGATGAATGATAAAATTGTAGTATTAATAACCTGGGGTAGGAGTGCAAGGGGCGCAGATTTTTCAGTTGTGAACTCATGATGGAAAGGTCTGCCAGGAGAGAAGTCACCTAAGGAATTCAAGCCATTTGCAAGCTGCCAATTTGAGTTACCTGATCATAAAGGATGTCATAAAATACCTTAAACATGGGATAGTTTTTCTCTAGAGGATCCAACCTATGAATAGAAGATGGTGAGTAGCTCTGGGGGGAAGGGGTGTGCTACAGCTATAAAATGAAACACTTAAACTAGATAGACCAAGTCCCTTCCAAATTTAAATCCTTTCATTCTATGAATAGAAACCAGATTTCCCCAGCAGTGGAACATTTGAAGAAGAGTTTGGTTTACCTTGGTCTTTTGATTCAGCTTGTGCAAAGTCCTCCAGGGATTGTTCCAGCAGATCTGCCAACTTATTCAAGATCTGAGAGCGGTCCTGGGGGCTTGTGGATGACCAATGGGGAAAGGCCCCTCTAGCAGCCGTGACTGCTGCTTCTATCTTTGAAAAGCAAATGGAAGAGTCAGCAAGTTGCTGTTGACTTATTGAGAACTGATATGTTGTGGTAGCATCCACAAGTAGTTCTCCTGGAAGTCCTCTTGAGTAGGTGATATTACCCAGAAAACCTCTTTGAGTAAAGCAAGACTGGTGGATACTCGTAGTTGGATAGATAGTCAAAGAAATAAGAAGCACTGATTTTTGTTTTCTATATTCAAAGATGGTAGAGTGGAAAGTACACTAGATAGAGTCAGTCCTGAGGACTGGTTTTGATTTGGCCATTAGCTAGCTGTGTGATAGTTGACAGGTCACCACATATCTCTGGAGGGCAATTTCTTCATCTGTAAAACAAGGTCGGACATGATCTCTTCCAATTCTAACTTGTATGAGTCTCAGTTCATGCATTATTTGGTTTCTTTAGGCCAACATTTTCTCCCCTTCTTTTTTTTTATTATATATTGTTAAAGGGTGTTCTGGGATGGGTCTGACTTAGGTAGGCTGGCAGGGAAGATATTTGGGGGAAGGGGAAACCTTATAAAGAGTCTTCAAATCACACTGTCTAGGCAGGGAGGTATCTGCACTATCGGTCCTGGCTAGCGACAGACTATTGAGAGGCAGGTAGATTGTGCCCACTGGAAAGGCCATATGTCATCTCATGCTGACAAGACACCAGACAGGATTTGCAGAAAGCAGGACTTTAGGGTTTGAGGCTTCTGAAAAGCAGTGACTTTCAGTATGACTAGGAGGCAATGATGGAGCTCAAAGGCAGATTTCTTTCTTTACCCCCATTTTCCCTCACCTGTGACTGTGGTTCTCAATGGCTGTGTCTTAAACTTCATTAGGTGTGCATTGGAAGTATCATCTCTCCTTCTCATTCCTTCTCTACATACCCCAAGACGTCCACATGCTCCAAACCCCATCCTCAGCTGTAATCTGCTGCTACCTGCCCTTTTCAAGGTCACTTGGAGGTGTAAAACACAACAAAACACACTTCCCTCTGTTATGAGTGGGAAAGTAAAGTAGGAAGAGGCTAAGGAATTGGGGAGGGGAATCCTAAGGCTACAGAAATGGAACTGGAGGCCCTTCACTGTGACTTACTTACTAACCCTCATCCCCCAACTGAGATCTTCAAGATGAGGCTGGATAACCTTGTCTGATACGCTATAATGGGAAGGTTTTTTGTTGTATGACTAGAGGTTTACTAAAGATATTTCCAACCCTCAAAATCTGTAATTCTCTGATTCAGTGTGTTTTGAGCAAAATACAAATAAATAAATTGAAAACCACTTGGCCTAAATCCGATGGTTGAAAGTCTTAAACACAGGTCCCCAAAATAGGCAATACCACCCCCTGAGGGATGCTGGAATGATCCAAGGGGGTCAGTAGTAGCCTTGGGTGCAATTGGGGGGCATTGAATAAAAATAACAGGGCAATGGAAGTACAAAGAAAGAAAATTTTGAAAAACCATTTGTACATTTTTCATCTGTTGTATAAAAGAATTAAAACTGTAGTAATTACATTTTCCAAATAAATACACAAAATGCAAGTTATAACCAATCAGTGGTCAAGTGTGCCAACAAGTCTTAACAAGCAAGTGTTGGCAAGCAAGCATGTCCCACATTGTCAGGAAGTCCAGAATGCATTGACAGGAATATGTGTGTATAAAGACTTGTTTATAATACGATACCATATAGTTTATGATGTAATATTATGTCATCGAAATTTCAATGCAGGAAAAAACCCACAAATGTATAATAAGTTATTAAATTTAAGGGGTGTCAATTTTAAAAACACATTTTACAGTTTTTGAAATGACGCAATCTCAAAAAACTGTTAAAGGGTTAAATAAAGTAGATTTTTGCGGGGAGTGCTGAGTACTTTTTAAAGGGGCAGCAGGCCAAATAAGATTAAGAACCTCTGTCTTAAAATACAGTATCAAGAAATTGAATCCAAACTGGAGTGAAGCATATAACCAGTAAGGGCTAAGACAGAAGAGACTATAATTCACATTTATATAGTGTTTTGAGGCTACTAAGGAAATTTTTCAGAAGATTCTCCAGTTCTGTGGAACATAAATCAGGTCATCACTGACCTAAAGAAACACAGGAGAGGGCAAGTCCAAGACTGTGTCCACTGGTTCATCTGATTGTGAAAAGAATGTTTCTTGTGGGTGACTGGGAAAATGAGTATATATAGTGTGTGTACTAGGAAGCAACTACGGTGCAGTGGAAAGAGGACTGGATTTTAAGTCAGGGCAGAGTTCAAAACCTTGGCTCTGTTACTGGCTGTGTGACCACGGACAGTCTAACCTTTCTCAATCTTTTCTGTAAAATGAGGATGTTGAATTGAATGAACTTTAGTCTCTTCTAGCTCCAAATCAAAATCTATTAACCTCTTAATCTCTGAATTTTAATTATGCTCTAGGGATAGAAAAGATTCCTAAGGACTTATAGCAGATATATAATTCTTTGCCATTAAAAATACCTTGATAAAAGGAGAATGTTGTGGATGTCCCAGTGCTAGGATGACACTTCTCTAGCTCAAGTCAGAATCAAAGTTTTAGTTACAGTTTAACCACCTAACCATTATCTTATTGCTAATATTTAACTACAGGATTGCAAAAGTCTAAAGGTTTAAAATAAAGACAAATAAACAAAACTGGGTAGGACAGTTCTTCAGAACTTCTTCTGAGCTAAAACAGCCATGATATATGACTGCTAGGATTCTACTAGGAGCCAAGGAAATGAAGTTCAAGTCCCAGTTGCCATTTATTAGCCATTTAATCTTGGGCAAGTACTCCCTAAATCTGAATCTTCTCACCTGTATAATAGCTAGCTAATATCTATAATCCTTTCTAGCTCTGAGAATTGTAAAGAACTTCTGCATCCAACACTCAACCACACAAAATGTGACTTCCTTAAAAACAAAAACTGTTCTGCAAAGCTTGAGCTACCAATTAACTGACATTTTATTTCCTTACTACAAATGAAATGTTAAACACATAGCCCGCAGGATAAGAAGAATTATTATCCTTTTCCACACAATAACTGGGAAGGATGCTAAGCCTCTTGAAACTCTCTGCTTAGTAGCTTCGTGGAGTTTAATATTAGGTTTTTAGTGTTTTAACAGCACATATCTTACCAGACTAATTTTCACTCAAAGGTAAAATAAAATTTCCATTTAATTGCTTTACAGTAGTGAAAAAAAGGTTCAGGCTGAATATCACACAGTAGTTACCAGAAACCCAGGTCCCTTTCAACACCAAGCTATGATGCCATGATCATATCTTCGTTTTGTGAAGAAAGAGAAAGTGTGTTGGGAAACCAAACAATATAGCTCCACTTCCAAACAATGGGAAAGCAAATGTAAAGGACAAGAATTCTTCAGAGAATTCCCAGAGAACTAATTTTAAAGAACTTCATTCTTTCAGTCCAGTAACATTTTCTTAGACACCAAATCCAGAGGTGTAGAGAATTTAGGAAATATCCTGTGGGGATCTAACATATTAATGAATCTACCATAATACCTTCAACACTACGATAACTCTAATCAGACACTCCATTTGTGCAAAGAGAAAATAGTAATAGCTAAAAACAACCAAAAAAATAGAAATAGAAAATAAGCGCAATATAACTAAATCGAACTACAAAACTGGGGGGAAAAACCCATATTGGGCTAGCCACTGCTTAGACAATGTTGAAAAAAAGCAGATTGGCTAAGGTTAAGATTAAGATTAGCCAAATTTCTGAGTCATTTTTGACCTCAAAATGGGGTAGAATCTTACATTGCTATTATTTATAATACAATGGACTCAAAAGCTTTGAATCAGCTTCCCAAGACCCATGTAATGTTTTAGCAACTTCCACTTCAGACTCACCATCCTATCTTCCCTTTTTGTTCAGAAAAATGACACCCTCAATTTATCAATGCATTTTAAAAAAAATCAACTCACCTCTTCTTTGCCACTGTCTGGAACTTTGCAATACACCTCTCCTGTAGATGGGTCATAGGAATCTATGTGTAAATTGCAGGGAATAAATTTACCAGCAATAAAGTTTTCCAGTTCCAAAAGGGGCTTCTGTCCTGCCATTTTAACCAACTGCTTTCACTATTTTACAACTCTGCTGACTGAGCTCACACGGCTTTACTTATTCCTCAACTTAAGTCTCCTCCCCTTTTTTACCCATTACTCAATAGCTTAGTTGGCCTATCAAAGACATGTGGGAAAGCAGTAGTCCTTAAAAGAGTTAGATTCTTATGGAAATACCTAACTTCCCAAACTGAGGGTGTTGGGGATCTGAAATGATTATACCTTTTATCATTTTGAAGGGATTTTCCACGTATTGAACTGGTTTTATTCCCATAATAAATCTCCATCAACACAGAAAGATGATACAGATCTAGCAAAAGATACTGAGGAATATTCAATCAATCATAGTGCTGAAATGTTTGTTAAACTCAGGTACGCCAACTAAGAGAATCACTGTTCAACAAAAGCTTTTGGGAAAACTGAAAAGCATTCTGACAGAAATTAGGATTAGATAGTCACTTCCTACCATATACTGCGATGTCAACTGCACCAAACTGGCCTCTAACCTGTGGATGGCTAGAGCCGAACAAAACAGACTAGAGACAGAAGAGTAAGGAATCAAACAGAAGTTTAATTTCAAAGTGAGGAGGTGCAGCCAGGTGGTGCAGTGGATAGAGAACCAGCCCTGGAGTCAGGAAGACCTGAGTTCAAATTTGGCCTCAGACACTTACTAGTTATGTGACCCTGGGCATGTCACTTAATGCCCACTGCCTTCAAGACAAAATAAAACAAAAAAAAAATTCAAAGTGAGGGAACAATGACAACGACAATGTGACAAGTTTGATTCATAGTAGGACACCATGACTGGAACATGGGTACTTGTCTGAACTGGTCCAGAGCTTGGACAAGATTAGAGAATACCTGGTGCTGGTCAAAACAACATAATAATTATGTGATTTTGCCACAGGGTGAGAACATCCAGAGGGTGAGCACAAAGGATTGTTGTTGTACCAAGCTTAGGGCACAGCTCTGGAAAACAGGGTGTCTCCCAATATCTTGAAAATGTATCCAAGAGGATACATGTATTGACAATGTATCCAAAAGGATACATAACCCAGGTATAAAAGGTCATATCACAAATAAATTAGAAGGGCATACTTTTCAAAACTATGGATGGAGAAGAGTTCTTGATCAAATAAGGTATAGATAAAATTGGGATTGTGATTACATGAAAAGCATTTATAAAAATGAAATCAATGAAGTTAGAATTAGAAGAGGTACAGTGAACTGAGAAAATCTTTGTAACAAATTTCTCTGACAGAGAAATGAAAATTAAAACTGTAAGCTTCTTCTTTAGACTTATCAAATTTGTGAAGATTACAATAAAGGAAAATGACAATTGTTAAAGGCTGTGTGACAATAAGCACACTAATATACTGCTAGGGGAACTGAATTGGTCCAACTATTCTGTAAAGCAATTTGGAACTGTATACCATAAGTTACTAAACTATGTGTACCCTATGATATGACCTAATGATATCACTACTAGGCATATAACCATAAAGAAATCAAATATAGAATGAAAAAACCTATATGTACAAAAATATTTATAGCAACTCTTCTCATTGCACCAAAAAATTGGAAACAAAATGGGGGAATGGTTGGAAAAACGTTATATAAAATGTAATAGAATATTATTGCTAGCTATTTATTGTTGTTCAGTCATTTTTCAGTCACGTCCAACTCTTCAAAACCCTATTTGGGATTTTCTTGGCAGAGATACTGGAGTAGTTTTCCCATTTCCTTCTCCAGCTCACTTCACAGTGGAAGAAACTGAGGCAAACAGGGTTAAATTCCTTGTTCATGGTCACATAGTTACTAAATGTCTGAGGCCAGAGTTGAAACCAGGAAGATGAGTCTTCCTGACTCCAGGCCCAGCACTCTAGCCACTGTGCCGTTTAGCTGCCCAAGGTAGTTATTATGCAACAACAAAATATGATAAATCCATAGAACCCTGGAAAGACTTACAATGAACTTACGCTGAGCAGCACCAGAATAATTCACACGATGACTACAAAATTGTAAAGGAAAACCACTTTGAAAGACTTAAGAAGCTCAATTAATGCAGTGATTCATCACAATACTCCAGAAGACTGAAGATAAAGCATGCTTCCCACCTCTTGGTAGTGAGGTGATAAATAGGTACAGACATAGACAGGGTGTGAGTTAGTTTTGCTTGACTGCACTTGTGATGGACAGCTTTTTACTTGTGAATTGTCTTATCCCAGTAGATCATAAACTCCTTGAGAGCAGGAGTTGTCTTTCTTTTTCTCATTTGTATCCCTGTTGATTAGTGCAGTGCCTAGCACATAGTAGGTGCTCATTAAATGTTTATTGTATTTTAAAATTACAGGGGGGATGGGGGAAAGTAATAGATGAGAGTGTGCATGTTAACAAAACATTTCAAATATATATATATGTAAGAGAACAACAACAACAACAAAAAGAAAACAGGTTGGCATTGGTAACGTGTTCGTTTTAATAATAAGCCATACATAAGAGATTTGGTTTTGTATATAACCTTGATGACACGGTGGGAAAGGATCAAGACCACAAGTGGGGAGCGAGAGTAGCAGCATTGGCAAAGAGATCTTCCTTTTCAACAGACTTGAGCAAAGAAGGGAAGAGTGGGGAGGAGTGAAGAGAGGTTCTGAGGTATGGGGTGGGAGAAAAGAGGTAAATTTCAGTGGATGGCTTTTTAAAAAAAATTTATTAAAGTGAGACATGGGGATTTGTGGTGGGAATGTCAAGGAGGAGATGGTATAGGGTATCTGAGTGGAGTGTGTGATTAAAGTTAAAAGAATTGCTGTGTAACAATGAGGACTTTGTTGACAATACTGTAAAGAAAGATTAAATAAGATAATTGTAAGAGAAGAAAAAGAAATGGAAGGAATTAGAATAAGCAATGAAGAAACAAAGCTGTCACTCTGCAGATGATATGATGGCATACTTAGAGAATCAAGTAAAAAACTATTTGAAATAATAAACAACTTTAGCAAAGTTGCAGGATATAAAATAAACCCATATAAATCATCAGCATTTCTATATATTACTAACATAGCCCAGCAGCAAGAGACAGAAAGCAAAATTACATGTTAAGTAACTGTAGACAGTAGAGAATATTTGCGAGTCTATGCCAAGACAAACCCAGGAACCATATGAACACAATTACAAAACACTTTTCACACAAATAAGTCAGGTCTAAAGAATTGGAAAAACATCAGTTGCTCATGGGTAGGTTCAGCTAATATAATAAAAATGACAATTCTACCTAAATTAATTTACTTATTTAGTGCCATACCAATCAAACTACCAAAAAAATTTAAAGAACTAGAAAAAACTAGTAACAAAATTCATCTGGAAGAACAAAAGGTCCAGAATATCAAGGGAATTAATGAAAAGAAATGCAAAGGAAGGTGGCCTAGCTGTTCCAGATCTAAAATTGTATTATAAAGCAGCAATCATCAAAACTACTTGATACTGGCTAAGAAATAGAATGGTAGATCAGTGGAATAGGTTAGATACACAAGACACATTAGTTAATGATTACAGTAACCTACTTTTTGAGAAACCCAAAGACTCCAGCTTCTGGGATAAGAACTCACTATTTGACAAAAACTGCTGGGAAAACTGGAAAAGAGTATGGCAGAAACCAGGCATAGACCAACATCTTACACTGTATGCCAAGATAAAGTCAAAATGGGTACACGATTTAGACATAAAGGATGATAGTATAAACAAATTAAGAGAGCAAGGAATAGTTTACCTGTCAGATCTATGGAGAAAAGAAGAATTCATGACCAACAGGAGATAGAGAACATTATGAAATGCAAAACAGATAATTTTAATTACATTGAATTTAAAAGGTTTTGCACAAAGCCAATGCAACCAAGATTAAAAGGGAAGCAGAAAGCTGGGAAACAATTTTTACAGCCAGTGTCTCTGATAAAGGCCTCATTTCCAAAATATATAGAGATTGACTCAAATTTATAAAAATACAAGTCATTCCCCAGTTGATAAATGGTCAAAGGATAAGAACAGGCAGTTTTCAGAGTAAGAAATTAAAGCTATCTATAGCCATGTAAAAATGCTCTAAATCACTAGATTAGAGAAATGCAAATTAGAACGACTCTGAGGTACCACATTACACCTATCAGATCAGCTAATGTGACAAAAAAGGAAAATGATAAATGTTGGAGAAGATATGGGAAAATTGGAACACCAATGCATTGTTGGTGGAGTGGTGAATTGATCCAACTATTCTGTAGAGCAATTTGGAACTATGCCCAAAGGGATATAAAACTGTGCATACCCTTTGATCCAGCAATACCAATTCTAGGTCTGTATCCCAAAGAGATCATAAAAAGGGGAAAAGGACCCACACGTACAAAAATATGTATAGCAGCTTTTTTTGTGGTGGCCAAGAATTGGAAATTGAGAGGATGCCCATCAATTGGGAATGGCTAAACAAGTTGTGGCATATAAACATAATGGAATACTATTGTGCTATAAGAAATGATGAGCAGGTGGGCTTCAGAAAAACCTGGGAAGACTTCATGAACTGGTACTGAGTGAAGTGAGCAGAACCAGGAAAACATTGTACATAGTAACAGTAATATTGTGTGATGACCAACGTTGACAGACTTAGCTCTTCTCAGTAATGCGATGAATTAAGACAATTCCAAAAGACTCATGATGGAACATGCTATCCACACCCAGAGAAAGAACCATGGAGTCTAAATGCAGATTGAAGCATATTATTTTCTCTCTCTTTTTTCCCCTTTGGTTCTTCTTTACAACACACCTAATGTGGAAATATGTTTAATATGATCGTACACGTATAGCCTTTATCAGACTGCACGCTGTCTTGGGGAGGGGGAGAAAATTTAAAACTCAAAATCTTATAAAAGTGAATGTTGAAAACTAAATTTTTTTTTTAAAAAGAAAAACATAAGAAAATTGTAAAGAACCCAGTTGGTGCAGCTGTATGACTCTCACCAGGTATATTCAGGAACACACGAACAGGAATAGAGAAGGTGGATAGTGAG